TTTCGGAGCTCTTTTTGGTAAGCCTCGATGTCTTTGATTTTTACGGCCATTCCGACCGCTTTGGTTGCGAGAAAAATGAAGCTGTCGATCAGGCTTTCCGTCGTCTTGGAGCCCACGTATGTCTCGTAGCGTTTGATGTACTTCTCGACATCTTTGTCGCTCAGGCGCTTCACTTGATCGTGGTTCAGCTGCACTCCAATAGCCTCTTTGACTTTGCCTGTGGAACCGAGCACGGCCAGCTGCTCGCGAAGTGCAGGAATGTCGGGGGCGGTTGNCATTCCGACCACTTTGGTTGCAAGAAAAATAAAGCTGTCGATCAGGCTTTCTGTTGTCTTGGAGCCCACGTACGTCTCGTAGCGTTTGGTGTATTTCTTGACCTCTTTGTCGCTCAGGCGCTTCACCTTCTCGTGGTTTAGCTGCACTCCGATGGCCTCTTTGGCTTTGCCTGTAGACACCAGCACGGCCAGCTGCTCGCGAAGAGCAGGAATGTCAGATCCAGCGGTTGGAACAATGCCACCTGCGGGACCACTCGGCGGCTCGGGCTCAGTTTGAAGAAGGTTCATAACTTCTGCAAACGTGGCCTCTTCACCCATTGTTCAAGGCTATATACAACTTTGATTTTTTTTATTCAAATAACTTAACACCGTACGGGTGGCGAAGCGAGAACACAAAATAAGAGAACTTTCGCTCTTTCAGCTTTGAAACCAGACCTTTGTACTCATCCTGAGAGAGTTCGCCAGCGTAGTCCTCGAATATGGCTTTCGTCGTCTTGGCCGAGAGGGTGTAAAAGAGGACGATCGCCGCCACGTTCTCCCGGAAGGAAGCTGTTATGCCGGTCATCTTCTTGGTCAGCGCCCAAACGCTGATGCCCATATGTTGGGCAGAAAAGGCGAGATTCACCAGCTCGCCTGTACGCCCTTTCACATTTTTGGAGGCCGCGCAGTCGTCGAGTATTATGAGCGTGTTGGTGCCCACGAAAAGCCATCTCACGATCTTCAACCACATTTCCACGTCGTGCTGGTCGCAGACTATCACATCCATTCTTGGATCGTTTTCGCCAAGCCGGTGCTAGGTCTTGTTGTGCGTGAACGTCGGGCAGATGAGCACGATGTAGTCGAACTTGAAGCGGAAAGGGCTGTAGAGCTGGTCCACCACGAACCTCGATTTGCCCGAATTCGTCGGCCCAAAACTGTACAGATTCCAGCTGTCTGTCCATAAGGTTGATCTGGGAGTCGGCGATGACGAACACATGGCATTTCACGTTGCCCTAGCCTTCGGCTTTCCGCTCAATTTCCAGCTGGACACCATCCGTACTGTCCACAATCCGCGTGCCGCTGCCGTGCATTCCTTGGTCAGCCATGGAGCGCATATCAATCACAAGCCCGAATTTATCACCGGTGTAAAACTTTGTCATATCCATGTGCTCCGTTTTATTTTTTCTTTCACAAACAAGTTGCGGACCTCTTCCCACATGTCCCTGCCTTCGATGCCGTTGTTGTAAAGCATGTTGGGCGAGCCGTTGACCGTGACGCTGACTTCGTCAAATCGGGGAAGATGAATTTTTCTGAATCTCTGTCGCCAGCGGTATACGGCTCTATAAACAGGAGGAGGAGGGCTTTCAGTGACCTTCTTTGGGCGTTGACTTTGATGCTGATCCTCGTGTCGGTGCCTATTCTGAAGGCCACCTCTTTGTCATGCATCACGTCGTCGTAACTGAACTCTTTGCCGCTGGAGTAAACGCTCCGCGCCTCGTCTGCCAGAGTCTTGCTGCAGATCATTTTGTACTCGAGCTGGATGTTTTTCAGCTCGTATTTCAGCTGGGTTGTGTCGGTGCCTTTGACCACGTGTATAGCTTCGGCAAGTTTTACATCGAATGTGAGGTCGCTGTAAAGGGCCTGGGGGTAGAAAACGCCGTGGTCGGTTAAGATCTGATGGTCAAGCCTGATCCGGTACTTNTTTCAGCGTTGACGCCCGAGGTTTTCTTGTCACCCGCGTCTGAGCGGATCTTGCATAGATCTTCGCTCTGAATCCCTTCGAGGATCCTGTTGTCTTGCTCTTCCTGCGAAAGAAAAAGGTCTTCGAAAGTTTTGTATATGTCGTACCCAACCGTGTCTTGCAGGATAGTGCCTGCAAACTTCACGACCAGCCTGTGAACGAGCGCCCGCGTGACGTTCTGGACAAGGAAGTTGTTGGCGTGCCCTTCAGCAAGGTCGATATCAAAGACAAGCGCTAGCGAGCCCGGCACCAGAACCTCGTTCTCGTTCAGCTTGGGCACGGAAACGTACAGCGTATTGCCGGGGTTGGCTTCGGAGGGGGTAAAGGTGATTCGATTGACCGCGCGCTCGGCCTTCATGGCGTGTACTGTCTTTTCGCTGTAACTTGGGCGAAGGTTCTCTGGCACCACTGACGTTGTGTATAAAACACCGGCGATTATTTTTAATTTGAAAAATAATAGGCTTGCAATATATCGCTATGTCGGCGGCAGGTGAAGGAACAAGCTTTGAAAACCCTGCTTATGACCCATACGGTTTGGGTGACGATGACGATGATGAAGGCTGAGATGTCAACGAAACGACTCCTTTTTTCCCAGAAAATTCGTCTACGCCACATGGTAAAGAAGAAATTCCAATGCAGACAATGCAGACTGAAAAAAGCGGGCTGCCTGCAACTTCTTATGTTGAAACCTCTTTCACCGGGGCTCAGACCGTGAGTGAACAAGCGTGGGTGCTACAAAAGATATCTACCCGGACATGAGCTCAAGCGAGCTTGAAGTTTCACACAGCTCGAAGGGGAAGCTCCAGGTCAAAATGTTTGGAGCTGGCAAAAAAACGTGACCTGTTAACCAAAAACAGGAGAACGGGAAAAGATCAGATTAATCCAAACCTTTCAAAAGAAATAAAAGATGCTCTCGNGCAGGGTTTCGCCTCGAAACGTTACGTGCAGCTTCTCAACAAGCGCCCACGTGACGTTCTGGACAAGGTAGTTGTTGGCCTGCCCTCCAGAAAGGTCGATGTTGAAGACAAGCGCTAGCGAGCCCGGCACCAGAACCTCGTTCACGTTCAGCTTCGGCACGTAAACGTACAGAGTTTCGCCGGGGTTGGCTTCAGTGCACGAAAACGTTATCCTCTTCAACGCGTGCTCGGCCTGCATGCCGTGCAAGGTTTTTTTCGTGTATGTCGCATGAAGGTTGTCTGGAACTCACATTGTATATGCGCTGGCGATTATTTCTAATTTGAAAAATAGTAGGCTTCACATATATCGCGATGTCGGCGGAAGGTGAAGGAACAAGCTTTGAAAACCCTGCTTATGACCCAGACGGTTTGGGTGACGATGATGATGATGAAGGCGGAGATGCCAACGAAACGACTCCTTTTCTCCCAGGAGAGTCGTCAACGCCATATGGGCAACAAGAAAAAATTCCCATGCAGGCAATGCAGCGCGAAAAAAGCGGGCTGCCTGCAACTGCTTATGCAGAAACCTGTTTCACCGGGGCTCAGACCCTGAGTGAACAAGCGTGGGTTGCTGCAAAAGGTTTGTACCCAAACATGAGCTCAAGCGAGCTTGAGGTTTCATACAGCTCGAAGGGGAAGCACCAAGTCAAAATGTTCAGAGCTGGCAAAAAAACGTATGACCTGTTTACCAAAAACAGGAGAATGGGGAGAGATCAGATCAATCAAAACCTTTCAAAAGAAATAAAAGCCGCTCTCGGGCCAAAAGCTGAAGACATCATTGTTGAAGACTGCGACACCATCAGAGAACAGCGCCAAAGACTGACAGATGCAGAGATCCAACTTCAACAGGCGGAAACGCTCTCTTCGCAAAGAGAGGAAGAAAAGAAAGCAGTGGAAGCCCTTAGGCGAAAAATCGTGCAAACTGATGATCAGATTGATGCACTTCAGGATAAATATGGTTCGAATCTTGAAAGTGAAGCAGAGCTGCGAAGGCTCAAACAACGGAAAAAGAACTATCAAACCGATCTTGAATGCAGGAAAAAAGCGTTGGACTCGCTCACAAAAAAAGCAATGGCCATAGAAAAGGAACAAGCCAAGGCTGACAGACTCAGGGCCAGCATCGCGGCAAAAGAAAGTGAAACAAACGCCATGGAAGAAAGGCTCAACCAAACCAAACCGTTGGACGACCTGAAAGAGCAGGAAAGCGAGCTGCAGCGCCAAAACGTGGAAGACCAGGCTATCATCCAAGATGAGAATGCCTCGCCCTCCGAAAAAGAAGCCGCAGAAGGCAGAGTTGCTGAAAGAAACGAGGAGATCGCCCGTTTGCAGACTCAGATCGCGGAAAGGGAAAGGGGGCAGCCTCTCTTGGAAAGGGTCAAGGAGATCTTAAAAAAATATGGCGTGACGTTGACCGCCATTCTTCTCGCCGCCGGGACCACAATCGGCGCTGTCATCGGGGTCCTCACCAGAGGTTTGAAAGCCACTGGCAAAGCTTTGGGGAACGGCCTCAAAGAGATTGCCGTGAAACTCGGCTCTATGCTGCCCGGGGTGATTGGCTCGATCCTGAGCTTCCTGTTCAAAGCCACCGGCCAAGTCTTCGGGTTTCTGGCCGAGCACACCTGGCTGCTCATTCTTGCCGCAGTGGCTTTTCTGTTCCAAAAATATTTTGAGAAGCGCCGTTAGCCTGAAACCATCAACAGAAATGCCGCAACTCCCACAAGGCCGACAATCAACACCGTTTTGTTGATTTCGTGTTGCGGGGTTTTGTCTGCAGCCTCTGGCTCCGGCGGAAGTGCTTGTTCCTTTTCAGGTGGCGGCGAAGCTTGTCTGTTGGGCCAAACCACGCGCCCGGATTCGGCTGTTGCGGCTTTGTGGATCGGGTTGGACGGGTGGCTGTTGGGCGGGTTGATTTTTGACGGCCTGCCTGCCATGTGTTTGAGCCCAGCTTTTTTTGTTTCCGGGTTTACCTTGTTATTCACCCCCAGTCTCATTCCCGAGACCGCCTGTTTCAGCTTGTTGTTGTAACCGATCGTGCTTGCGGTGTTGATTATCATTTGCGCGGGCATCAGTCAGGCCATGGGGGCAACACCCAGATTGAGCCTGACCTTCGCTTGGTCCACCGCAAGCTGGTACCTTTGCACGCTCGCGGCCAAGTCTGGCTGTCTGATCGCGCTTTCCATCAGCACCAACAACTTGCTTTGGGCTTCTCTCGCCCAACCGCCCGCACCGAGAATGCTGCTGCGGACGTTGACTTGCGTGCCAAGGACGCAGTAAACGAAAGCCTCAATTGACTGGTTGATTCTCGACAAGCTCGCCTGCGTCAAACCGTTTGCGGTGTTAGGTGCAAACCAGTCGAACTGCCGATCTCCAAAAACATCGGGCCGTATAAACTCAATAAGGTCACCCTTATCCAGTTTTCCACCTTCGTCGGTGAACTTGTTCCAATCAGGATACTTATAACCCGTTTTTGTTGGCGCTTCTCCCCAAGGCTTAACGTACAACACCCCCAAACCACTATTTGCGCCCGAAGTTAACCTAATGTCGCTTGATGCGTCTATGCCGAACTTGCCGCATATCCTTTTGTACGAAGCGACGTCGTAATGGTTTTTCATTTGGTCGAACGTCGGGTCTCCCGGCAAAGCGCTTATGCTCTGAACACCTCCTAGCTGGAACAGAATTCGCCTGACCGTGAAATACACGTGGAATTTGTAGAAAGCTCTTACCTGCGGGGGGAGATTCATCCCGCTGTCGAAGATTTCGCGAGACACTCCGCACCCCTGTGTCGCGCAGAAAGCCGCGAAGTTGAGCTGCTGCGGCCAATATTTCATGTCTGGCCCTCCTTGCCAGTGTTTTGATTCAGTTGCAGTCGTGTGTTTGAGTTTTGTGTCTTGAAATGTTTCTCTTAATTTGGTTGTGAAATATTGGTCAGGCGTGACGTAGATTTGTATCAGGGCGTCAAATATTTTCTTGAAGCTTGGCACTTTGCCGTCGAAAGGTACGGCAGGGATGGGCAAGGAAATTTTTGAGCCAAGCGGCGCCAGTTGGTAAGGAAAACCCCCGCTGTCTCCCAAACCAAGCGCTTCTTTCATTTCCGCGCTCCAATACCACCTGTCTGAACCAAAGACGCTTTGAAACGAGTCTTCGCTTTCTTTGAAAAACACCTCTGCGGTCACGTTCTTTTTCTTGTCGATCGTTGCTTGTGAGATGAACCGGCTTTTGTCCGCTTTGGGGAAGNTATAGTCCGTTTTCGACGGGCCCACTCCTGTCGCGTAAACGTAAATGCTTCCCAGTCCGTGGTTTTCCCCGTGCGTGAAGCGGAAATCGCTCGAGGGGGCTATGCCGAACTCCCTGCATATCCTTTTGTACAAAGCCACGTCGTAATGGTTGTTGAATTGTTTGAACGCCGGGTCTCCCGGCAAAGCGCTCATGCTCTGGATTCCTCCAAGCTGGTACAAAATCCTTCTGACCGTGTAGTACACGTGGAATTTGTAGAAAGCTCTTATCTGCGGCGGGAGATCCATCCCGCTGTCAAAGATTTCACGAGAAACTCCGCACCCCTGGGTCGCGCAGAAAACCGCGAAGTTCAGCTGCTGCGGCCAATATTTCATGTCTGGCCCTCCCAGCCAGCGTTTTGATTCCGCTACCGACGTGTGCCTGAGTTTGGTGTTTTGAAATATTTCTTGGAATTTCGTTGTGAAATACTGTTCAGGCGTGACGTATATTTTGATTGGGGCGTTGAATATTTGCTTTAAACTGCCCGCTTTGCTGTCGAAAGGTATGGCGGGGACCGCCAAAGAAACTTTTCAACCAAGCGGCGACAGTTGGTAAGGAAAACCCCCGCTGCCTCCCAAACCAAGCGCGTCTTTCATTTCGGCGCTCCAGTATTTTCTATCTGAACCGAAGACGCTTTGAAACGAGTCTTCGCTTTCTTTGAAAAACACCTCTGCGGTCACGTTATTTTTCTCGTCGATCGTTGCTTGTGAGATGAACCGGCTTTTGTCGGCTTTGGGGAAGCGGTTTAAAAAGCTTGTCCACGCCTTTTTCTTCGCCGCCTCCGCTTTTTTTAACACAGGACCCTTCCACACATTCGCCATGTATTTTGAACATAATTTATTTGTTGAATATAAAAATGGTTGTTCNAAGATTTCGCGAGAAACTCCGCACCCCTGTGTCGCGCAGAAAACGGCGAAGTTTAGCTGCTGCGGCCAATATTTCATGTCTGGCCCTCCCAGCCAGCGTTTTGATTCGACTGGCGACGTGTGCCTGAGTTTGGTGTTTTGAAATATTTTTCGTAATTTCGTTGTGAAATGTTGGTCAGGCGTGACGTATATTTGGATTGGGGAGTTGAATACTTTTTTCAAACTGCCCGTTTTGCCTTCGAAAGGTGCGGCAGGGATGGGCAAGGAAACTTTTGAACCAAGCGGCGCCAGCTGATAAGGAAAACCCCCATTTTCTCCCAAACCAAGCGCTTCTTTCATTTCGGCGCTCCAGTACTTTCTATCTGAACCGAAGACGCTTTGAAACGAGTCTTCGCTTTCTTTGAAAAACACCTCTGCGGTCACGTTATTTTTCTCGTCGAGCGTTGCTTGTGAGATGAACCGGCTTTTGTCGGCTTGGGGGAAGCGGTTTAAAAAGCTTTTCCACGCCTTTTTCTTCGCCGCCTCCGCTTTTTTTAACGCAGGACCGTTCCACATGTTCGCCATGTATTTTGAACATAATTTATTTGTTGAATATAAAAATGGTTGTTCTCACCATTGTCGCGCAACAGAACGGCGAGACCATCTATTTTGAAGAAGCGCTCCCAGGAGCAAGCTATGCCAGACTTTTGAGTTGTTCTTTTTTCAACTCCTGGCATAATCTGAGTCGTGTTGGCAGAATGTTTTTCAAAGGAACCGACGACATAGTTGCATCATTGCCTCAAGGGCATTACAATGTCGAGAGCCTCGTGAAAGAACTGCAATCCAGTTTTGAATATCACAAGAAAAAAGGGGAAAATGGTCTTGGAAACGAATAACCCCAATTCTGTTCTTAAAATTACAACCGCCGCTGGTAATGCA